CGGATCGACTGTTCTGAATTGTGCAGAGTGCCTGCTTATCATCTTCAGAAGTGAAGAATGTGCAGGGGCAGAACCTTGCTCTAGGTCATCACCTTGGCTAATATTTTCTAGCTGTCTCATTCTGGCACTATATGTGACTTTCTGTGTCGCGTTTGAGCTTCATCACGCTGAACACTTCAAAGTTAGGCATATGGTGTTGAAGAACCGATGTTTCTTTTAAGATGGAAATTAGTCTGTTTTACCCTGATACCAACTCCTTTCAGTGGTTTTTTGCAATGGTTTGCAGTAAAACCTCCGTAAGTTGGCCACTCAAAAAACTGGACCAAACTGGTCAACATACGGAGGCATGGATCCATAGGGTTTATATGGTTAAGTTCAGACAATGAAAAAACCGGCCAACTTAAAAAGGTTGTCAGAATATAAAGGTGTTAAACTTCTGAGGTTTTATTGTAATTGCAATACCACAGATTATTAACAAACACAATTGACCGGATTGTAAACATCAGTAAACGAAGGACGACTAATTCCTCCTGAAGCGTTTGATTAAGGCTGTAAGTCCTAGTCCTCCACATCTAACAGTCTGATGAACGATTAATGTGTTTGTGGGGCCTAGGACCTTTTACTTTTGACATGAGACCTTCTTCAGACTTCTACAGGCTTTCGTTTCAATCGCGATGCGTCCTGCCCCTCCCCACAGTTACATTTCCCGTCATCCACCAAGCATTCTAAAATGAGGAATTCACTATCGGGATATTGAAGGTCTGATGAAGATTAACTTCCTAGTGCAATATCCTTCTATATGTTCAGCATAGAATAAAGACTGGTGTAGCAACAGGTGTGGGCACTAAGCCGTGTCTGCTTAAAACTCCTCGTAATGTCAGTTGACTGAATAAAGTTCTTTAATGCACTATTGCTCATACACCTTAGGACGACAAGAAACGTTATCGTGAAGCACCGATATGTCTACCATTCTATAGAAATTATCTGACGCGTTTATTGCATGTTGATGACATCGTCTTAAGAATATCGTGTCCGCGTTTCAGCAGATATCTTCACCTGCTGCTGCCGGGTCACAACTTCAGTTTAGTAGGTCACAATCAAGAATAGGTGGAGCATTATGAGTACTTGGTCTATCTTCGCGGTTAATAATATCTGTGAATCCTGGAATGCTTCTGCTCCCTCCTTAGCTTATTTTAATTTGTCGCTGAGCAGCACACATGTCGCTGCATAAATTTACACACTTCAACCGTCAGTGCATGAAATTCTAACCACTTTATCTGCCGTTCTCAGCCTAAAGGCTGTACGGAAGACAATATGAATGAGGTAGTTTCTACATTTATCCAATTAGTAAACTTACTTTACGCTGTTTTTATTATCTCACCGACAGCATACACAATTCTTAATCCGACCATACAGCAGGGCATGCTGGGCGCTCGATTCTGTGTGGAATAAATTATTTATTAACCAAATGCCTCTCCCGAAGCTTCCAGTATTACGTGACTTCCAAGACACAGTAATTGTCCCTCGCTTGTGTACTTAGTTTACACGGCGCGCCTTGTCCTATGCGGCCAGGTAATGTATGTGGCCTAGGAAAGATCGCCATTACACACATGGTGGAAACGCTTTCGCGTTGTGGAATAAAAGAAAGAATCCAGAGAGCCTAACTGTAATATTAGTCAGTAGTGAACTCTGGGTGGATCATAAGCTTTCATTGAGAGTTCATGATTTAGTTGGCAGTTCTTCGTGGACTCGCACTCATCGATCTCTTTTCAGCTTGCCAACACCTTTCACACAGAGTAGAAGATTTCGAAATAGCTTGACGATCCCACCGAATTCGCTGTTGTGACCATAACACGGAAAGAAAATCTAAGCCAATCTCTCTTACTATCCTGAACGACAGAGAAATCTCACATACCATGTTGAATGAATAGAAAGTTCGACTGAAAGTAACATTTCGGAGCTTCCTTTGGTTTTAATCCATTCCAAACATTCCAAATTTCATGTATTGGTAGTAGACATGAGCGGTCCACTGAAACCATTGTAATTAGTGCACATATCACCAGCTTTTGATAGATCAAATTACTTGAAATCATAAGCTACTGTGCAAACATGTAACCAGTCTTGGCAAGGTACAAATGGGGGTTTCCTCAATTTTTACAGTGGATAGACTAACACAGACAGCCAAACAAGCGGTGAATGATCTGCAGTAACACACACCGACTTCTCAGTGTGCTCCGCGGTCTCTAAACTTTCGGAATGTATTCTACGACCACACAGATGCAGTTATATCTCCACTACAGTAGACACTGTATTGAGGAACCTGCTATCTTTGCATCAACGCATCTCTCCCGAAATCGACGCTATTCGCCTGAATGCGCTTAGCATGTACATTGCGAACTTGTTTGAACTTTTAGCGTGATTCTTCTATCATTCTCTTGATAAGAGGCACTTTCATACCTGGTGGAACTATTCAGCATAACTAGAGTACACAAAAGGCAGTTTTTTCCGATCCGGTTAATCGATTCCCAGTGATTCTTCATGCGAATCTTACAAAAGCATTGGAGGCTGTATTTGCTGATGCACACATATCTTACGTCAACGAATTTGGCCTCATTGCGCAAGAGCAACATACTTTCCCGCCGAATAAATGGTGCACTACCAATCTTACGTTAACACGAGCCAGTAGGTTTTTGTATACAAATTGATGTCGTATGTCTCGACTTTTCTATAGTGTTCGACCGATTGGACCAATGCATCTTTTAGGGAATTTCGGGGATACGGTATTGGTGATCCCCTCCTAGGGCGGATCACAACTTTCTCTTGCACCGACAACTGAAAGTGAAAGTGCGCGAATCTATAACAACTTCTATCAAAGAGAAATGCAGTGTGTGATTTTCTGGTGAGTTTGATCAGTTCACATTGTTTGTTTCACACTGACGACATCAAAGTTAGGCGATCGACCAAAGTGCAAGATGATTGCATATTTCTCCAACTCATCTCGAAATAATTTGTGGATTATCATTCTTAAACTCAACGTGAGCAAATGTCGATAGATCCGTTTGAGATACCAAATGGTTCACACCTAGAATCTGGGGGACCAGGATCCTCCTCCATCATGCTCTCGCGAGAAAGACCTCAATGTGCCAATCCCAGACGACTTCGTCTGTTCGGGTCAATGCGAATTCGCGCAAGGGAAGGAAACGTGGTTTCCTTACGAAGAGCTTCTGATCGCTTCGACTCATCCACTTTCTTCCATCTGCCTTTTGCATACCTGAGTCCTGGCGTGTGGTATGCAATACAAGCCTTGCATCCATAGTAGCAACGAATTCACAGTGTTGAAAATTCCACAACGTCGACCACCAAAACGAACAAGAACTAATAGTGCTCGGAGTCTTCAGCAGATGTTGTCGGCAATTGTGTGACTGTCTCAGTCATGGTTTCCCAGCTTCTACGCAACCCCAAGCGTATGTACTATCAACCGTTAAAGCCCAGTCATCCTATTCGACTGAGAGCTCACCGTCTCAAAGTGGCGTACGATACAGCTGGTTAGAGTTTAAAAGGAGTCCCCACTTGCTACGTGTTTACCACACATGGAATCACATCTCATTAACTGTCGTCTCAGCCCTTCCCTTCACTATATTCGAAGATCATGTCGACAGTGCACCGGCCGTAATACTTGGGATCATATAACACTGAAAGGAAAACCGCATCAATCCACAGAAATAGCAGCGTTACAAACTGCAGGAACCAAAATGTGAACGATCCAGATGGCGAAGATTTTTGCCTGCAAGTCCAGTGTGACTTCTTATCTACTGCAAATGGATGTTTTCATCCTTTTTTGACCAACATCAGACCATCCGGTTGGTAATGTTAATTTTCGGTTTTTATTCTCAATATACCAATTACTATCGACTAAGGAAAGTGTCTATTTTAGCTCCGACCTTCCGACGCTACATAGTTATCAACTTAACCTAGTATTGCGTGACATTGTGAATTTGTTCCTTACCTCCATTGCACTGAATACTTTGGTTCTGTACAATTCCATAATTTCGGATGAAACCTAGTGTGAAAGTTTCCTCCAGTTCTGCTTTTGCTTCCGTGAGTGGTAAAGAATCGAGTGGTAAAATGGCTGCTGTCCAAAAGTGGTTAACCTGTTTTGTAACGAGGCCTTAATGGCTTATGTTTGGTCGAAGCCTGTGTCTTACCAATTTGTATAAACGCTTTTTACGGTAGCAGTCAAGAGAACGAAACCTGTAAGTTCACGTAAAGTATATGAATTTTTAATCCGGAATGGTACAGCGAAAACGCTATGACTCTGAGGGAACCACACCAAACAGTGTGCACCTTCATTTGTACGCTGTGGTCCTCTTTTTCAGTGCACATCTTTTTAAGAATCATTTCCTTGTTAGCTAAGTGACTACAGGCCAATTTAGCTCGTGCTATCAAAACGAATGGTCCAGATCGTTCCCCGATGGAAGTGAATTTTCCGGAGAATAAAAGATTCCTCTAGGTAATCAAACTGATATATCGGTACCGATTGGCTGGTATACAAGGCATATCGCTTGTGGGTCCTCTTTCTTGGTCTGTTAAGCCTCTGCTTCTTTGAAAATTGACGCAGACTGTGAGGGGTTTTTATCCGCCCTTATCCGTATCGATTGCTTGGTTCCATTCGAAATCCTTGTCGCCTACTTATTCAGATCCACGTATACCTCAAGTGTTCGTGGATGAAGAACACAACAGTGGAAGGCGAAACACACTGACCGCTATCCAGTTTGCATCATATAATGACTACCAAATTAAACCGAAAACAACGTGGCCATTAATATGAAGCGAGTAAATGCAACTTTTATCTTCTAGTTGAGGGGTATGTCGATTGAAATATTACATTAACCCTTTTCCCCTCCGATTTAAAACACACACCAGAATGATTAAAAGAGGTGTCCATATGTGGCTTACTGCATCTGTACAGGAGAATTAAAAATCTTTATTGTTCTCACATGCTACTCATCCGGTGATGTTTGGCCCATATGGGACAGTTGCATAGTTTGGGGTGACGTAGTGGAAGAAGTCGTTCCGGAAGATCCACGGAGGTCTTTGGCGGGGGTTCGATTAAGATCAATTTTTCTGGTGTTGCAAACACCCGGCTCGAAGCAAGCAGCGGCATTCTCTTGTGCTCTCTGTGCCTCTGTTGGTAGCATGTTTGCCGTTTCCGATGTCTTTTCAGGAGGTTGATGAGTGACGCTCGTAGGAGAATATGTTTGAGCTCCCTTAGAACCACCGGAGGACACCAGCACTGCCGCAGCCATGGCTGCGGCGTTCCACAACAAAGTCGTCGAATCTGATATTAGGGGTTCGTGAGATCTATCAGTCACCGCGTATCCAGTCTGCTTTTTCGGGAGAAACAAGTTGTTTGGGTGCACAAATTCACTGTCATTCACAGTTCGAGGGAGTGTTATTCTTGGTGCTGGCAAAGCATCAAATTTGGATGTTATATTACTAGATGGAGTATTATGAAAAATAGGGGCTAGTCCTTGTCGATAAGCTTTGTACATTTGTGAAAACTCACTGTCTGACGTGATTTTAGCTACCGAATTGGATGCATTTTCCATTATATCCCTTTTGTTCATCTTGTTCCCCGGAGAGGCATTAGTGTGCATTTTTTGAGAATAAGTTTCAAACGACGTTTCTCCACCTAATAGCGAAGCTCCAGCTTCACTTTCCACAGACACACGATTGAATTCATCTGGGGAATGATTGGTCAGTAAATTCGCGTAACTAATAGCAAATGGTGAAGCTGTTAATGTCATGTTTTGAACGTCATACCGCTCACCGTTCCATATCTGAGGACGTTGCGTCCAGTCACCTAAATTTCTTGCTCGATTTATACCCACCGGGCCTATATTGCGCCGCGCACCTGAGGGACTGCACATTCTTAAATAGTTTCGCAAGAACTCCTCGTAGTTTGTACCGAGGGAAGGAGGCTGCTCAGAACCGGGTGCGGTATCTCGAGGGTTTGATGCAAAAAAGTTCGAAAAAACACCTGTCCTTCGGATTAGATCTGTGCTCATAGCATAGTCAAAGTCCACAGTCGTGCTTCCAGCAGGCGCTTCTGGAGTGACACAAGCACATTGCGCGCTGATACGCGGAGAAAATGAGTCTCTGGAGGATGCAAAAGCTGGGGAGTTAAGGAATATTTTGGAAGGATAGCCCGTGGAACATGGCACGTTCACGTCTTTTCCAGGATTCTGTTTCTTCCACTTGGTCCTTCTATTTTGAAACCATATTTTCACTTGGGTCTCTGTCAGGTTCAGTGCGACAGCTAGATTTAAACGTTCACAGACGGATAAATACCGTGTCGTTTTAAACTTGTTCTCTAATGTCACTAATTGTTCATACGTAAAAGCTGTTCGCGCCCTGCGCGGTTTTGTGCTTAAATTAATGAGGCTGATACCAGGACCTGGATCGCTGTCACCATCCATAGCGTTGAGGCAATCCAAATCCGATTCTACTGTACCCTGGCTATCGTCTTCCAGATGCTCAAGTCCTTCATTACCGTTACCGAACCTCTGTTCTTTGCTTTGCTCTGAATTAACTAACGATCCCGCTACTCTGGGATTTTCCGAATTACTCTGCATTTCTTGTGACGAGAACTGTACCGCGTTTGCATCTTTCGTCCCTGCGGATTGCATGTTGTGCTCATTTTCTTTTATTCTCGATCGATCTACTTCCACTTGCTTCTGCATGCCAAACCGAGGGATGCAAGACCGTTTTGCAAGGGGCAATTGCATAGGCCTGCTCGATGTTTCAACGCTGAGCGGCCGTCTTGCTCTTCTGCTACTTGGTACCTGTCCAGCGGAATGGAACCAGCCGATATGATTGAACAATCCGTCCGGTTTTTGTTTCAAGCTTGCAGAACTTGACTTTTCTCCTGTACAGTGATGAAAAAAATGTACTTCATCTTTTGAATCACAGTGTTCTGCTATGAGAGGAATTTCGTATTGCTGAGGTTCTTCTGGCTGCATTCGTTCTAGAAACCAAAAGGAAGAAAATTTTGGTGTTTTAGGCATACTGTGAAAATGAAATAACTTGTTCAATTCATAGTTCTTTTTCACTTCTCAAGCAAATCAGGTTACACAGCAATTACGGTTAGTCGGCAAAAGTCCTACCAATGGAATAATTATACCATGAGTGCTTGCATTGTTTGACTTGCTCAGCGGCATTCGGTGATTAGTGAACAGACCAGACAAGCTTCACACAAATCTGCTGAATGAACACCAAACCAAACTGCTCGTTGCGTTCAGATTTCTACTTACAAATGATAATCCTTTTGTCCAATGTTTCAGACAGGTTATCTATAACCACCCTGTTCGCCTTCCCGCTTAACGCTCTTTTCGTTTCGTTTTGCAATCTTTAATTCTTATTAGCAAAACAGCGCAAACTTTAACTTGGCCTTTCTCACCAGCTCGGATCTGAGATCAGACTGGGTAAACTAACCCATACTTACTAGTGTCTTTAAGTGAAGTTATTGAATTTGTAAGGGCCAATTAACCAGGGTGTTATCCATGGAAGTATGACTTAAGCAATCCATCAGTAAAACTAATTTTCGGCGTTTGTGATGGATAGATGTTTTCCGACCTAGCATCGTTTATCCATCAAATGGTAAAGACGCAAACCAGAAACAAACTACCTTAAATTTCGTGCTAGAAACATTGAACGTTGCTGCTAATGGCATTTGAGCCTCTATACGCTTGCTGAAAGGAAGGTCACAATGGTTTTCATGCTGTGGGATAACTAGCTAACATACGATTCCGTGGCATACTGCACAACGGACGGCCACCAGCTGCTGTTTTACAAAGGTCATCCAGACCGCTTCCATATTTGCGGGACCTCAACTTCAGTTTATTTCCTAACGCCTTAAGACTTCAAAGAAAGCTTCATTCCTTTCGAGTGAGCTAATTCTGTACGCACTAAGTGCACGTTGCTACTACTCAACATCCAACACGCATTTTCACTGGGAAAGTGAGCACATCTGGCAGACGGTAGTGAGATAAACGTATGACACTTACTCTTCTTTAATTTCAACACGATTGTCAAAATGTACTATTGCACAATCTGTCACATATAGTTACATGTGCTGGCGCCTCGTTAGCACGATTGTTAGCTCCAATGGGATACATGACAACTGGACCGTTCTGGCAAGAAACTGTCTTCCAAGCATCAATCAGTCATTTCTCTAGGCAAGTTTGAACAACGGAAAGCAGTCAATGACATTCCTTTCTCTATCCATGAACAGACGAGAGTTCATTCTCATTTGAAATGAATATTTGTTCCATCGTTTCTGCACTGGTCGGTAGAACGTATTCCCTTTAAAACCAAAGCGCGTGACTCTTCTCATACGAGTCCGTGGTGAAAACCTCTGGGCCACGAAGACAGCCATGACCGGATGGGGTATTGCACCGATTGTTCCAATCTGAGTTGCAGTTCCCCACATTGGAGAGGACGGGGATGCTCCCCGCTACAACGTCCACACAGTTCTTATCATGTGAGTATCGTTCCAACCCAATCACTAAAAACACATTCATATTAATGGACACATTTATCAGATAGAATTTGAGCTGGATAACGACGTTTATTATTTCACCTCGAGGTAAATCAAGCCTCTCAGTGCTGTTCAGTAGCACTATGACACTCGACTGAGCCACACATTGCTGGGTACTTCCAATTGTCGAGTTTCGTTTAGTATGCGTATGCCATTTATCTACCAGTTAGAGTGACCTAGTGATTTCAACGCATTCTAAGATGATCCCCACTGAACCAGGTGACACAGATGAGAGTTCTCATTTGCTGGCTCTACTCCTAACGCTTAGGACTACATGTGGAGTGATAAATACCGGGCACCTCAAATTGCAGATTAGCGCAGGTGGATTGAACGACTAAACGAGGTGGTGCTTTTCTATTATCGTGCATAAGCTGGCATAGCGGTATGGCTAGGCGGACAATAAATAGCTTGTGTTTTCATGTGGAACTGTGTATAACCCCTGAAGGTTTCTTTTCTCCTGTCTTGCCAGAAGTGAGCGCCTGCATGTCGACGCAAATGAAGGGCTTCCTTTTGGAATCGTTTAGCCTAACTCTCGGATGTCGCATACACAAAATGCACCAGTGTTTAATTGTCAGTTTATCTGAAGGGCGGGTTTCAGTCAATTGGTAGACAGTGAAGAGGAGTGATGTTCTAAATCACTCAGTAGTTATACTGAATTAATGAGAATTTCCTCTCACTCTTCAACAAATCGATCAATGTTCTTGGAAGATAGTACCTACACAACGGTTTACGATGCCGGTGCTGCAAGGTTTATTGTCATCACTTAACGTCAACCACATTGCTCGTCGTGTAGACAGACATGACGAACAGCTCCGACGATTTAGAAACTTTATTGCCCACCCTAGTGTTAACTTGTAGGGAACTAGTTAAGTCACTGGTTCTGTCCCGATTACCAACCAGAATCCTGAGTGTCTTTATGGAATACCTGCCCCTACACATCTATCATCCTAGCACCTAAATTCCAAAGCAACCACAATGTGTTGCAGTCAGTAGTTAGTTGCCAAGTTTGCTATGTTCGGGGAAGACGTCATCCTGACCTAGAACCAATTAAAAACAGCCACGAGCAGTGCAAACCACAACAAATGGCGCTGACTCAGTTCGACCCTATGTGCACTGCCAACTCTTTGTTGCTTGGTTCTTTCTTGGTTGGACTGACACATGTATGTGTGGCTGCTTTAAGTTCGTTTCAATTAACCTAATTAGTCCATAACGTTAATGATTACATCTCAGCTGCAAAAAACGTGATCGTATCGGAAGCACATTTGCTATGAAGCTAAATGAAAAAGTAATACTGCAAAGCAAATAGAACGTCGGCATAATTGATGCCGATAACATCATTGATCTCTGAGTGGTGCATATTTGTCCCTGGACCGGCAAACATCCGGTTTGATGCTTATATGCATGTTACTATCCACTGGGTTGTGCAGTTGATGAGCCGAAATGGGCAATGCCATGGTGATACTATATCCTTCTCTACGCCAATTGTCCTAACCCACTTGGGGTGATACGGAGACAGCCAGCTACCTGAATGGGCGTTTTCAATCTTGTGTCGATAAAAAAGGTCTTTGTTCGAACTAACACATATCGCCTTTTGACCTATACACCGAAGCTTGGTAAGTGGGGAGTTGCCGAGCTTCATTTGACCACTTTCTAAGTGTTCAAGCAACGGTTTAGCCGACTTAGGTCGCAGTCTGTCACAAGTATAGATACCAAAAACTAAATCCAACTGGGGTGTGCTGCGCATACATTCAACTAAACCACTTGCAAACGCCTTGAAAATTACTGAAAGCTTGTTTGTCGCTCTGATAACGGCTCGTCGCTGGTGCATCTTTCTCAAGCCGTAAACTTGTAGCGCTAAGATTTCATTCAACAAGACTAACTACTGATGTACTGTGGTAATCTACGCGGTGACCGGACAGCAAATGACGAACTTTCCCTGGCCGGCATGTAGGCTTCCATTTCATTAACCACTGGGTACAACAATAGGGGCCCGTTTCTTACCACCAGCTGATGGATGTCAACGTTGCCCATCCCATAGTCTCACCACACGGAGATCTGTGGTCAAGATCCATTAGCATTTGATGTTTTCGAGTAGCGGCACTGCGTCTTTACACACACGGTAAGAGAGTGATGGAATAAATCCTAGAATTTCCTTTGGAATTCCGGTGTTGTAATGCCTCAGTAGACGCATCGTTCCAATCCTGCAACCGAACCTTATACGCAGCGTCATGCATTAGCCTAGGCATTAGCGCCTACCTAGATACTTTTCAATTATCCATCCGCTGTTAACGGTGATCCAGACAACCGACAAGATAGTCGATATATTCTATACCCGATTCAACGAGCTAATCGGTCAAATAATACTACTTCAGAGCTAACCATTGTAACTTGGCTGGTGCCAGGTGTGTTCAGCCAATCAGATTACACAAAGGACTGCATCAGCGAGCATACAAAATAAACCGATGGATCGTTATGAGTGAGTTACTCTACCTGTGAGATAGTACATCCTACGGCGATCATTAGAAAATCCCGTGGATGACGACGAAGCTGAAGATGGACTTGCGCTTCGATATTCTCACTAGGCGCCGTGCTCCGCAGTAACCACTTCTAGCATCCTCCAGCGGGTAAACTATGTTCACCTTTGTCGCGAGGAAGTAACAACCTCCAGTTGTACTGCGTTTAAGACACAAGGCGATAGAAACATCCATTCACATACAGAATCGTCGGCTACAGTTAGCTACCTATCTTCATGTTAAGCCCGAAAACTATGTGAAATTCCACACGTATGGTCAACAAACACTTATGCTCCGTAAGTTGAACAGCCAACAAATTTCAAAGAACAAATTGCTGTCGCCGGTTCACCGATCTCTTGTGCGGCCACCAGATCGCGAAGTTTGCGATAGCAATAATAAAATTTCACTCACCTATGAACAATTCCGGTTGGTCAATAGTCCGGATACTGATTTTGATCATGGTAATCACTATGCCAGATACAGTGCTGGTTCTTTCCAACAAAGCACTGGCATTGCTTATGTGGTTAGTGGTCTATATTTTAACGACTTCATGGAACTAGAGCATTGGCGACCCAATCCTGAGTTGGATAAGCAATTTTCTACCCGAAAGTCGGTTTGAGGTGTGAGTCCGGAAATCTCTGTCCGATGCAATTGATGTGGAGTGTGGTGGACCACAAGGCTCGGCGCTTGGGCCTCATCTATTCTTTGTGTTCATTAACGATTTTACGGTATCAGTTGCTTCCGATTTCCTATTTTTCGCAGACGATATCAAGATAGGATGGATGGTCAGAGGACCGCACGACCATAAACAGCTCCAATGCGATCTTAACACGATGTCGAACTGGTCAATTCAAAACGCTCTACCATTCAACGTAGACAAATGTCGCACTGTGCAATTACGCCATAGACATGACTACATGTATTTGCTTGGGGCACGCCGACTGCAGACCAGCTC